AAAATATATATTACTACAACCATGTTGTCATAGACAATTAACATGTGTAGTTTAATTTAAATCTCTTAATAGGGGGTGCAAAAGGTACACACAGTCAATGTAAGTAGGACTTACAAATGTGAACACAATCAATATTCATTAATTAAGTGACATTAATGTTCATTAATGCACATATGCACCGTATTTAATGGGATTTTAAGGTTTACTTTGATTATCTAGTTAGATAACATTTTTGAATCATATTTATAAACTTAGTTAATCTTGACTAGAGCATAGTTAGAAAAACTTTGCAATACACTTTTATGTAGACAAACATTACTAGATGAAGTGCATATTTGAGAAAAATTCTCTTTTGAGTTTGAAACTCACTCTTAGGTTCTTATATTGAATTTAATTAGTTTAAATGAGATTTCACTTATCATTCTCCACTGCTAAAAAAATATGGATTGACGGTTAAAATTAGTAACAAATGATAACTACGAACGATTAAAATTAGTGGCGTTACTAGAATCAAAGGTATTCCTTACTCAGTTTGATTTCATTTTTTTTAAATATTTATGGAACCAAATATAAAAATCAAATTTAATTTATTTTTATTTGATTTTAATTTAATATGAAATATTAATCGAACCAAATCAATTTTTATTACTGCAATTGTTAAATATTTGTTACAAAAAAATTTGTAAAACGTGATTTTATAATAAAAACTTGTCAAACACAAAGACATACAGTGATATTTATTTTATGATTGCGGTTACATTACGAATACATGAATAAATTGCAAAATCTTACCGTGAAAAATTACAACACATATTTGCTATATTTTTAATATAAATATATTATAACTAAAATACAATCAAATCATCAAACAACTTTCAAGAAATGTATGATTATCAATTTCAAACATATAATACTGTATATATTTAAATATAATAAAATAATTATTTCTACTTAATTCAATTCTCATTTTAATCCAAATAGTTGGTAAAGAAAAAAGTAAACAAAAATTAAAAATATATCAATTTTGATTGATTGTAGATTAATTTTTAAATCAGTTAGATTTTTAACACCATTATAATTACTAGAATTGATTGAGTTCATGACATCCCATGGACCATTCATTGCATGCTTATCTTGATGTTATTAATTGTGATTGTCTTATGTACTTATTTACCAATTGTGCATACTCCATTGATAATTTTTTTCTTAATATTTTATTAGTCTCATAACTATACTTTACGTTTTTTTTCTTGGTACTTTATAAGTTAAGTTAAGAATATGTCCCTTTTTGGTCATATATTGTGTTTTTATATCTTTTAGAGACACTGAAGTTGTAATTGAGTTTACATTCTATTTATATATAAATAAAAAAACATATTTTTTTTGCATATTATTATTAAGCAAGTCAAATATTTTTAATCACAACAATAAAAAAAAAAAAAAACAATTGGAGCTCATTTAAACCTTAACAAGAGATGTTACAAAAGCGACCAATATATGTGACAGTAAGCAACCAAATAATGACAAATCTTTTTATAAAATAGTGATGTATTTATTTATTTATAATTATCAAAATTTTACGATTTCTACTTATTCATTTAGATACAGCCATTTTATGACATTTAATTTTGCTTAATTTAAATGTATATCAACAATCGATTATTAAATAATTTATTTGTGTGACTAACTTTGTCATAAAACAAACCAAAGACCAAATAACAAGTCATTGACAAGATAGCGGCTGCCATATTGGTATCTAGGTAGCTACTGAAATAAATTTGGTCACAAAAAGTTTATCAATTTATTTTCATCATCATTTTTCTTTTCTCGGTCACAATTAATTAGTGACTGATTCATCATCATCATCGTTTCTTCGTTTCCCTTTCCCCAATGTTTTGAATTCTCTGTTTCTTTTTATGCATTCTTGAATTGGACGAATGCTTCACTTTCCGTAGAAGCCATGAGTTTCTGGACTTACTGAAATAATTAGATCCTTCCAACTGAAACGGGTTCTTCATGGTATTGTCTCTGGTTGTTATATACACACAATATAATAATTATAATATTTTTAAAATAGCATATATACCTAAAAGAATTCTTTTCAGGCTAAAAAAGTCAGGTTCAAACCTAAGAAAAATCTTATTGGGCATGTCAGCTTAACCTATATATTTCTTGGAAGTAACAAAATTTAATTATATTAAATTAATTACTTATTATTCTTATTCACTAAATATTAAGCTAGTTAACATAATCCAAGCCTGAAGGCCAAGCTCTTATCTTATCGTGAATAGGTTCACCAACCTTATGGGTAGACCCATGAAGAACAATTCAAAGGTATAATTTTTTATTGACTCTTTTACGTTATATTTATTTACTCTAATAACAATTTTTCCTTATCATGAAGCTAGAAGAACAACTCAACAAAATTGAATATTTAGTAATTAAATTATATGTTGTTTTTATAAATGTAAATCCACTATTGAATATCCTATGTTTAAATTTAGAGTTCTTTTTACCTTATTAAATTGGTTTGTAAACATTTAAGTTGATTTATCATAATAATCACAATTGATCAATAATCTTTAAGAAGTTTTTAACGCTATATTATGATTATTATGCAATTCCAATTTATCACTATTTTTAACCATATATACATACGTATATATTTTGGAGATATAATTTTCTTGCTAAATCACTGATTTCTATCATTAAATTATTTATTTATTTATGCTATTAAATAACTCACTACTATCAGAGATCAAGAAAATAAAGTCTGAAACTAGATTATTCACTATTTTTATTAATAACCAATTAGTGACAGAGGTTTTCGTCAATATTTCATTTTTTTTATAGTAATAACATATTCAAATAGATCATGATGAGGAATATGATAGTGATAGAAAAGTGAAGAGCAAAAAAATTTTAGGATAGATCTATTTTTATTGAAACATATATAATACAAAATGAATATTTGATTTATATTTTTGTTATTTGATAATTTAATTACTTTATTTTAAGATTTTGTTGAGATTACTACACATTCAAGGGTGAAATTGATCATTTACCTTATTTTATTTACATTATTTTGCACAAAAACTAATTGGAAACAAAAAATTTCCTAGAATTCCCCCAAATATCACTAATTATTGCTATTTTGCAGTGGGCTACAAGGTCGTCAGTGATATTAAGAAATCAATGATACGTCAAGTGATAAAATTAAGTGCAGGAAAATTACTTTTACCAAGCAAAACATTCGTTTAACTCGCAAGTTAAATGAAGGAATAAAAAATTACCTTGGTATACAGGTCATGAATTAGGTAACTAAAATTTTTGTATTCATCTAAACAAGTTGATCTAATAAATATAATTTCTATGATGACCTTAATATATATTCTCTATTTAGGTATTGTTTTGATTTTTTTATTATTATTTCTTTTACAAGCATTTTTTCTAATTTTTCTTTGTATTAATTATTTAATGATCAAAGTAGCATGAGATATTTTAGTTCACAAGTAATAAAACTATATATTACTTTTTCTCTCTCAATGCATCAATTATTCAATATTAATTTTGAAAATAAAATCGATTAAATTTTATAACATAAGCAAAAGCTTTATAGAATATCAAGCCTGCCAAAAATGAAAAGTAAGATTTGCAAGGCTGAATGACACTTTCATTTAGTAGCAAATCAACCAATTTTTGACACCATGTACTAAAATCTAATTATATATACGATAGAAAAACATATAAAGCAATATTAGGAGCCCTTTTACTAAAGTATTTTTCACAATTTTAAAAAAATAATGAACTTTTTTAAGTTTTTCATGTATTTGTTTCAGAAGTTAGTTTAAATAAAACCAGAAGTTATTTTGACTGGTTTCTCATTCAAAATTAGTAATTTTTGAAAGTTAATCCTATGATGTAAACGGATATGCATTTACTTATACTTTTTAAAAAAATTCTGAAAAAAAAAAATCTTAAATGAGAATGGACCCTATACATGTAACAGATGGATACTTAAGCCAACAAAAGTACATACTTTGACTTTGTAACCTAACCAGCTTAAGACAATTTTGATAAAAACTAAGCATCACATAATGGAAATATAGGTTTAATTATTACATAACAACAAATAAAAAGTATCTAAAGTTCTGAGTAGTAATTTGGAGAGTACAGGCTATGCATGAGCAAAGCCTTATTATATATATGAATGCAACTTACCAGTAATCTTGTTTAAGACATTTCAACGGCCGAGAAAGCATTTACGCAAAGACGACCATAAACCCTTGCACTTCTTAAGGGTCATTTTGGGCCTGCTTTTAGCTAAAACTGGACTAGGGGTATGTTCTATGATCTCAGATTCTCCCTCTGCGCAGACAATGCTATTCACACTCCGAGCCTCGTGTGCATGTTCTGAGCTGATTTCAACATAATTAGGGATAGGTTCCTGCATATTTGTAGTTGGAAACCCTTTTTCCTCAGGTGATATCTCTGTTGAGTGGTAGTTGTGGAGAAGCTTTTCAAGGATTTGGGTGATCTCTGAGAATTCAGGTCGTAGCTTTGGGTCTTCTTCCCAACAAGACTGCAATAAGGGAAGTAGAACTTCTGGAAAACCCTCCACACTAGGCCTCATGTTCTGCAAGCACCAAGAAGAATATAAGTTATATAACAATAATAAACATACCAAGACTTTTGAAATAAAAAGTGTCGGTCTCAAAAACTGTACTTGGTAAACCTAAAATCTATATTTGAATCATTAAGGCTGGTAGATTGTGTCATGCTAGGTTTTTAGACAATAGCCTAACCTTCTGAAGAACAAATAAATGGCATTAATTATCTTTGAAGGTCTAACTTGGTGGCACAATCATTGGTATGATCTAAAATAAACATTTCTCCTAAACCATAACGTATGTAATAAAGATTAGATTGAAAAAGTATGAAAGACAAGGAGAACTATGATATGAGAGAAAAAATAGTACAAAAAATTAGCAAATTAGTCATTCGGTACAATTTCATATGAATACCTCGTCTAGAAAGGGATAAAAACTTATTGGAAGAAGAAAACAATTAAACATTTTAAAGCACCATGTTAAAAATGGAAAGAAAGAAGTAAGGAAGTAATACTCTTTTTCATTAAAATTAGAACTAAGAGTAATTGTATGACTTACTTTTGCAGTAGCATATGCTGCCAACAAGTCACTCCTTCCTTTAAATGGAGTTTGATTTTTAACTATGGCCCACAGAACCATAGCAAAACTATAGACGTCAGCCCTGTGGTCATAGCATTTCTTTTCACCTTTTGAAAGTGGATCCTTGCTGAATATCTAGTGCAAAAAATGGAAGGATTAGATATACGAAACATATATATATATATATATATATATGAAGAAAATTCTTGTAATGGACAGGTATAATATACAGTACTGATGGTAGATACTTATAAAGAGACAATACACCATAACATGTACCTCAGGAGCCATGTACCGATATGTACCAGCCTCAGAAGTCATCCCACCAGATATCTCCTCTCTGGCTGTCTCAAAGTTTGTAAGTAAAATTTGCATTTTGTCTTTGGCAAGAAGCATATTACCTAAATAAGTCATGAAGAACTAGTGAAATGACAGCACCTCTTGTACTAAAAAAAATGAAAACCAAATGATTGTGAATCAACTAGTTATTGTAAAGGAAAAATAAATAAAAATACTTAATTCAGTAGATGCCCTTAACTGGTCGGTATCTGCAGTTAGATATTGTATAAATTCTTTAAACCCTACCCCCCCCCCTACCTCAATTTTTAAGAAGACAATATACAACAAAAATTAGAAAAACATTCAAATTAGCAGATTCTATATAAGAAAATAAGAAAAAAAGGGAAAACCAGGTTTTAGATCGCGGTGAATGATTCCATTCGCATGCAAATACTCCATAGCTTGAGAAATATCCAAAGCAAAACTTATGGATTGCTCTAAACTCAGAGTACTTGGATAGATGCTCTCCAGGTATTTTTGAAGCGAACAACCTTCCAAAAGTTCTGTTATTATCATCATTGGCTCCACAGAGGCACCAATAAACTGCAAAATGAGTTTAAATTTCATTATACTTGCAGCTAAATTACATCTCATGCTTAAGCAAAAGAAGGGGAGTAAAAAAGACAGGTTATGCAGCATTAAAGTAAGAAAGAACACTGAAAAGTACCTTAATGATATTTTTATGTTCAATTTTGGATATCAAGTTAACCTCCCGCTGAAATTTTGCTTTACAATCAGAAATAACATCTGATGTTTGCATTGGAAGCATAACCTTCATCGATACAGGAATGAATTCATACCTAACCACAAGCAAACAGCAAAAACTAATTAAAATAAATGGTTTCACATGTAAATTTTATAATAGCTAATGAGTGATTTCACATGTGATTAAATCCATAATATCCACGTAACAATCAATTATCAGTGAAAACTTAGTGCAAATTTACTGAATTCTTATTTGCATAAATTTAAAGGGAACAAATCCAAGCCAAGGAAGCATGCTAAAATTAATAGATTATACTCAATATGGGACTTATAAATTGGGATTTTATATTACTAACAGCAAGATTTATAGACTAATAAAAATGCTCACGATGAAAAAACAAAAAATTGAACAAATTAAACAACATAGTTAAAAAGTGTAAAAGCAGAAACAAATAAGGTGAATCTCCATGAAATTTTGAAGAAGCCCCTTGTTACATATATTTTATTGCATGTACCTGGGCACCAACTGAAATACATATAAATGACTAATTAGTTATACAAGCATACTCACTAGGTAGCAAATTGTATATTTATTATAATTGACTACTTGTGATGATGGAGTGTGTAATTAATACACAATCACTGATGAGGTATATGTATATACGAGAGACGATACAAAAAATTGGTAAAGAAACTTCGAGAAAACATGAATTCATCACTTGTTTAAGAGACCTTCCCTGACTGAGTTTGTCAATGAGTTCAGACAAAAGTACTTCTAAGATACATCAATGCTTTATGAATTCGACAAGTTACAACGTTAAATAAAATTGCAATACCTTATTCTTGTATTTAATTTTAGTTTAAACGGTCGGACGAAAAATTAATCACCTTAGCAAAACTGAACCCTAAAAGAAGGTTAAAACCATTTAAACCAGCTAAATGGGCTAAAACCATGTGGTTACTGATAAGAGGTGTTACCAGTATTCATTGCTCTTTCACACACCTTCATCAGTTGATAAAGCTTATTGACATCTTCAGCCATGGTGTCTAATCATGCTTCTACACATGCGTATGCAGAAAGAGAGACGAAGACTTTTTCATTCACTTTTCTTAATTAACTGGTTGAGCACACCATTGGTGATGCCAACACTCTTTTCTGTGCTCATTTGAACGTTTGAAAAATTATTGAAAACTTTAAAACTCATAAAATAAAAAGTAAGAATTAATAAATTTAGAGTTTTTTTTATTGAATTTTAGTTAATAAAAAGAAATGTGTTTAAAAGAATATCAAAATACCTTATGTGGAAGGTATAGCATTAATAATGTGTTTGGAATGTTTGATTATTTGGAATATGTTATAAAATATATTACTAGAATTTGGAATGTTAATAATAAAGAATTTGTTTAAAAAAAATTACAAATATAAAAGAATGTGTGACCCACCCAGAATTATAAACTAAATAATAGATTATTTTTAATTAATAATTAAAAGAACAGTTTTAAATGCAAGTATATTATTTTAACATAAAATATATTTACTTTAACGTCTCTTACATATTAAGGATTAAATATTTTATGCAACGTTAAATATATTTTATTATTTAATACTTTCATTCTAATCTTGTTAAAAAAATTATAAAGTTACCATATTCTTTTATTCTAAATTTTTCTTACAACTTCTTTCTGTTATATATAATTATTAACGTGGAACAGCCCCATTCATCTGTATTGTCTCACCATGGATTACTCAAAAATGAATTGACATAATCTATTCACTCTTTGGTGAACCCAAAAAAATAATTAATCTAACTTAGTCCATAAATATATTTTATTTTTTATAAAAAATAAAATAAAAAAAACGATTAAGTGTCAAGTTTTAATTTAATAACTAGTTTTATTTTAAAAATATTAAGTGAGGCAAATATACTCATCATCATCATCATGGAAAAGGTATATAAAATTATTGAAAAAAAACAATTAGAGAAAAATGAAAACAATTATATACTAATATATTAACATAAAAATATCACTAATGCCTTGAAATGGTGAAATATAAACGTCTAATCTGCCATCATCTACAGCATCAAAAAACTGAGTAGCTCCACAGAAATCCAGGTAGCAAGTTAAAAAACACAAGCATTAAATCTAAAAGAGAAGTGTCTCGGATCAATAAATGAAAATGGCAAAAAGCTAATTAGTCTGGGCATTTTTCAAGGAAAAAAAGTTGACGTTGAAACGCGTATAACGCTTGAATCATATGGTAGGAAAAATATGCAGAAAAAAAAAAAAAACTCAACAAAACGACATGCTAAAAACATAAACATAAACACACATATACATATACATATACATATACATATACATATTAATATTAGATTTTGCAATTAGAATACCCACCATCCTTTGAAGACAACTGAATGTGACCCTTCTACAATCGGTTCATCAATGATAAGTTTACGAGTATCCACTAGCACGGTAGGATCTATGTCGAAGACAAAATCATCATCTTCTTTGGTAGCATCATCGTCACAGTCAGAGTTATTATCTGCGGAACCAAGCATTGCTAACGAGAGACGGAGGAAGAGATGAGGGTCGGCGAGAGAAACGAATCGACGTTCTTCTGCCATTATTGAAGCTCCTGTTGTGAGGGGTTACAGAAGTGAAGAGGTGAATGCAACAGCAAGTTCTGTTTCAGAGATATGACGACGAGGTAATAAAGAAAAATGTGAGTGTGGCGTATAATGCTTTTGGAAGCATCTGCGGAAACATAGCGTAATCATTTGTTTCCGAAAAATGAATACGCTGTGAAACATTATCCTCGCGGTAAACACATAACTGCCCCTTTTTTTTCATGATTATGCTCGAGCTTACGTAAACTAAGAGGAACACTTTCATAACGTTCCATCAACTCACACGCTATTACGTTTATTTAACCACTGCTTTTGAACTCAAACTCTGAATATGTTTTCTTAACTATTCCAAATTAAGGACATATATGTCTCATCAAACGCTATTGCTGCATTTTAATTTGTTTAAAACTCATTTATAAATTAATCATTTTGAAAAAAATCTAAACTTTTTAATTTATAAATAACAAAGGTTAACGGAAATTTTTGTTCATTGATTTATATAAACGAGATACTCGTTATCTTAATTAATATTCAACTTGTAAATTTAAGAGAAGTGCAAGCAAATCTATCAATCATTATCTTTTTGAAAAACTCACTTTATTATTGATCAAAAAAATTTAAAAATCGAAAATTTTGATGTATCTCAAGTTTAAATAAAAAGAAACCCATTAAATAAAAATTGAGATTCATTAAAATTTCTAAATTTTAACTAATAGTAGAGAAACGGTTAAAAAGGTGTATTTGCATTTTTTTCCTTAAACAAGTGAGAGTATTTAACTAATCAATCATCTAAAAAAATTTCGTTTGTTTGTTTAATTAAGTAGCGAGTTTAATCTAGCATTTAAGAAATCAAGTTTAATTAAACAGTTCATAAATAACTAAACACGTTTAATCCCTATTTAAAAGGCTAAGTTATTGTCCATATTCTTTTATCTTCTTTAAATAAGATTGTCTCTTTGTGGAAAAGAAATACATGTGTCACACAAAAAAAGGAATTTATTGTGAAAATAAATGAATATATATTAATAGTTATGTATGATATAGTTAAAACTAAAATAAATTTATGACAACTTTCAGTAACATTTAACCGAGATCACTTAAAATTTAAAGGTATAATAAATATGGAGTCATATTACTTTTCAATATTTGTATACAAATTTATGATAATTTAGAAGTCATCATTCAGATAAGACAATCTTTTACATAAATTTGGTGAGATATTTGATAATAAGTAAACTTCAAACGAGTAAATAATATGTTTATTGAAAGTATAAAAAACTTATATTGACAGTTCACACTTATAGATGGTTTAATTTTATAAATAAGTAATTTAATTTATAGATGGTTTTCACACTTATATAGTATAGATAAATTAAACTCAGTTTAAAGACAGTAAATATTGTAAATACAATATTCTTAATTGTCAATTTTAATTATGTGTATATTAGTAACTGTTGGTTCAATATTTAAGGCAGGTATTGGATCAATAATTTAATTCATAAATTATTAATAATGTAACGGTTCCATAATTTAATACAAATTTTAGAAGATTTTGAAAGTAATAATGACCAGATCATTTTTATTTAATACTTTGAATAATTTAGGGAAAATTGCATTAATTTTTCATAAAACAGTATTGAATGGCATTTATATCTCCTCCATTTTTAAAATAGACATCGTAATAGGAATAATTTTTTAAATAATATATTTAAAATAAAAAAACTATCCAAATAAAATCTCTATAAATTTATTTCTGTTTATTATTCATACACAACATTCAATAATGGGAAATAATTTCCTATGATGGAACACAAGTATTTTGTTTTCTTTCCTCATTTATTTCTTATTTCTCTCTCCATTTGCTTCTTATTGTTTTCTTTTCACTATCCTAGTATTTGTTATTTTTTTCTCTCTTTCTTTTGTTCTTTTGTCACTCATTTTATTCTTCTAATTAAAAATATTAAATTAAAATTTGATAAAATGATTTTTTATTATTTTAAAAATATATATTAAATTATCCAACAATCTTATAATTTAATATATTATATTTTAAAAAATATTATATTATAAATTTGAGATATTATAAATTGTTATGTTATAATTATTAAAAAAAATATTTAATTTAAAATATCTTTTTAATAAATATTTTTTAAAATTATTTAATATGACTAATCTTCATAACTCAACCTAATTATAATTAGATTAAGTTATTAAATAAAAAATATATTTAACTCATAAATATTTAATATTTTTTAATTAGATGAATAATTGCTTTATTATGATAAAATAATTTAAAATTAATTATTTATGTTATAGTAAATAAAATTATTTACTGTTATAATTAATAAATTATTTATTGCCATCATAATTTAAAATAATTAGTTGATATTTTTTAAGTTTTAATATTGATTTTAAAAAAATTATATATATTTTTTTACTTAAGAAACATATATGTATTATGATAATTTGTAATCTTCAAATTTATAATATAATATTTTTTAAATCTAATATATTAAATTGTAATATTTTTGGATAATTTAAATATTTTTATTTTTAAAATATGAAAAAACTTATTTTATCAAATTTTAATTTAATAGTTTTAATTAGAAGAATAAGACAAGTAGGATGATAAAGCGGGTTAGATCTGATATACCAGGTTCGCTAACTTGCCAAAACATTAGCGGGACAGGTTGGTAGTTTTAGTCTGTCTCGTCTAGTCCGTCAATTCGATAGACCAAGGACAAGAGAGACAAAATGACTTGTCATAAAAAACAATATTTATATATTAAAATTAAAATTAAAAAATTATTATTAAAAATATTATATTTTTAAAATAAGTTATTAAAATATGTAAATATATTATAATATTATAATTTAAATTATAAAAGTTAATTAATTAAGTTTAAATTATTAATTATAATAAGTTATTATGACATATAAATATAATATTTTTTTAAATTTATCTAATAAAAATATTAATTAATCAATAAAAATTTAAAAATTATTTATTTAATTAAAGATACATTTAAAAAAAATACATATAAAAAATTAGTTTTAAAAAAATATTGCAAACTAGCTGCTGATGCGCTGACCCGCCCATCCCATTTTTGGCGGTCTAGAGACAAAACGGGATAAAACTAGGCAGACTGATTCATTTTTTTCATCCCCGAAGATAAGTGACAAAAAAAAAAAAAAGAGGTAGAGAGAAAAAATAAATTAATGGGAGGATAGAGAAAAAAATACAAGAACTAAATAAAGAATGAGAAAAGTAAACAAATAATAATAATAATAATAATAATAATAATAATAATAATAATAATAATAATAATAATAATAATAAGAAGAAGAAGAAGAAGAAGAAGAAGAAGAAGAATAAGAAGAATAAGAAGAAGAAGAATAAGAAGAATAAGAA